AAACCTCCAACAACATCGTGAAGACCCATGAATACCTGACGAATCGCAAATGGATAGCATTCATCTTGCCGATGAATACCTGGGTACAGTTCTGTCCTCCGGGGGATGGGGAAGGGGGTGGACTGTGGGGGGGAAGGGGGTGTGCTGCGTTTTTTCCTCTTTCCTTCTTTCGACATGCGACGAGACTCTGCCATATCAGCATCACTTCGTTCCCGTTCTCCATCACTTGTTGTCGCTTCCTCGCTTCAATAGCTGGTAGAGAACGGGCTGGAGGCGCGCCAGACCCAGCCTCACCATTACGCCCCTTCATCCGCAGAGTACACGAACTGCACTCAGTTGGGAGTATTCAAAGATTTTCTTGTTGCACAGTCGACGGTTCTGTATAGTTAACTCATACTCAGGGACCTGCTAGAGGTGACTGGGAGCGAACCATGTTGCCTAGCACTGCCGCTAGCCTGTCATCTACTCGTTGAGAAGCCTACGTGCATGAACCCATCGGAGATACTTCCTGAATTGGCTGCCGCTTGAAACCGTCTTATAAAGGCTATTCCTGTACATAATTGGCTGGAAACAGCCCAATTTTGGTGCCGATTTTTCCTTGCCACCATCCGGACTCATCTGAAAGTAAAGGAATTATGTAGTTCACTAGGGCGACTAGGGAAACTCATGTGTTCCACTAAACTTACGTTTTTGCATGAGCTCAATTTCGTCATTAGCAGAAAACGACAACTCGTCCGTGTCCTGAGCATCGTAGTCGTACATGGCTGTGACTACCGGATACAGGCGAGGTTTTGCAGGTGGCTTTGGTTTGTTGGGTCTTGGAGCTGGCCGGATGTCAGTCTGAAAGAGAAACTGCTTTAGCATCTTCTAGTGGCTATCAACGACATATTCTGCGAGCTGGATGAGCGGAGAAATGGGCAGACTCGATCGTCCTGCCCAACCGCTTATCGCGTAATATGTCTCCAAAATCGAATCCTATCTTTTTTTCATCCATGGAAGAGCTCTGGTTGCAATAAGAACTATCTACTGCCTGATGTTACGGGAGACAGGAGAGCAAGCAGGGAATCAAGCAGCTAGTGAGAAACATTAATCACAGCAGTAAAAGGTTCAGTCATTATCACCGAGATGAGTCGGGGCGTGTCAGCGGCAAGACGGTTTCAGCGCGACGCTAGCTCGCTTTCCGTCGATTGCTGCTGCATGAGCTGTTCAGTAAGTATTAGAGAAGGGGCTGGCGCTGCGCCAAAACGCGCCCTTTGACTGTCTTCAGTGATAATGACTGCATGAGAGAAAGCACACAGGGGAGCATACTCGCTATACTTCTGGGTCACCAAAGTGGACCATGGCCACTTACGTCTGCCTTTCCTACTTCTTTAGATACGTCAACACGTGGGAATACTTTCGAATAATGCGAAAATTGTCGGGAGCTTAACGCCTATAACGAAGCTGAGTAAGCAGGAGTAAGTCAAGAACGAACAGATTCCGTTCCGAATCAACCTTTGTCTTTCGGAAACCGGAATCAAAGCATGATAATTTAACCATCAACATAAACTGTTTGAAGACAGTAATCATCCAAAAACTAAGTGAATTCATAAAAACTATGTAGGTGAGTTCTGCCTAAGGATTCGTCGAGCCTTCGGCTGGAGGTCAGTCCGTTGGTATGGAAGTTCTACGGCTAAAATTGCATCGCAGAATGTCTTAGAGACCCGCCCTTCTTAGACCATGTCCAGGGATCTGTGAACAAGGCATTTCATTGCTTTGAATCATATATCAGTAAACAGGATAAACAAATCGGTCATAGAGTTTACGAAATCTCCCAAACTTGTGAAGGATCAATGGACTCAGGTCAATGAATGTGAAGATTCGGACAACTCGTCCGATGACTTTTCAGCGAGTTGGTATAAACTGCTTGCGAGCGTGTTCATGTTCTCCTTAAGTGTCATTTGACCTCTGCCTTAATTTTATATTTCGTGGAAAGATTCAATATTGTGCTCTTCTGGGAATACCGCCTTCAAAACGTGCTTCGGGAGGATCTGTATAATATTGTCGCTCTTGGAGCCACATTCCAGGTTGATCGTATGGGTGGAGCCGGACCTACCACTCTTCACTGCTCTTCTCCCTGCTGCTTACCTCCTCTTAACCGTTTTGAAAAGCGGTAATGGAGAGGAAAGGATAGTAGGTCCAGCTTCATTCACATGAAAAGTGTGACAAAATGTGTCTTCAAGCTGCCAAAGGGCACTGCTTCATGCCAGTGCATGTACTGCTTAACTTACCGCTCTGAGCTCCACTTGGGCATTCGGAACGAAGGCTGTCGGAACGCCGCCGTAACGAGTTGGGTTTCCTGAAGTCATAAGATAAAACATAATTGCAGACTGAAGGTTGGATTGGGTGGATCACGAAAGGAGAGCAGTTGAAGGTGATTTCCAAACTGTGTCTCACCTCCAGAACTGGCGCTTGTTGTCGTTGACTGATTAAATGAAAGAGTTGTTCGACGCCTTCTCACCGTTGGAAACTTGACTTTGGCCGCTTTGCGCCGATGGTCGTCGATCAACTACTGACGCAGGAAGCTGAACAGATTGTCATTGAATTATAGAAGAACCTTACTGTTTCTTAAGTGAGAACATTTTCTGAAACCCATTTATACGCTCCACATCCTGGACCTGGAGGAAGAAGGGGGAGGGGAGGAAAAGTTGCTGCGCACTTCATTTGAACATGGCGTAGGATGTTCTTCGTGGGATATCTTCATTCAACATTACTGCCATTTCGTCTTTTGCTGGCCCAAGCCATGATTTTAACTGTCTCAGAAAGGCGGTTTACCACTATAAGCGCAGCCGACATCACACTCAGATAGAGCACGCAGCCGCGCCTTCTCCATCTCTGGACGAGTTGGGTTTTCTCCATCTCTGGAATATCTCTGGGATATGTGCTGTACGTACGAGGGAAACAAGAATTTATTGTCACAGAAGCTCGCATTTGGAAGCACCAATTGAGAACTAGCGTGGAGCCCTGCTGATTCAATATCTTTTCCTCCCAGGGATCTCTGGCAGGGGTGAAAACTCTCCATCTCAGAGGCATACAAGGCTTTATTGAATTTTGGACTTTGAGAGAGGATCCAAATCGGTCTTTCGGCGAGATCCGTATGTAGGTGCGGTAGCAAAGACATTTGTACTGCCTCACCTCCGCCATACTTGCATATGAACGTAGGTCCAGTGACAATAATTTCCCTTAGAAACGGTTTGGGGCGTGTAATCGGCTTCACCAAGCACTGCTCTATAAGTTACTCATTTGCACCGCTGCCGCGGCTTGGGAAGGAATAGCGAGGGCGCTGAGGTCGTCACACGACGAGGTGACTTCCTTCAACGGTAGCTGCCCTTCCACAGAAGTGCGAAACTGATAAGTGGGTGGGTGGTCTATCCACCGAGCTCGCCTTTGTGTCCTCTTATACTTTCGACTCTGAGCTCTCGCCCGCGCTCCCAGTGTCTCTACCCTCGCGCTTCCTTGACCAGCGCTCAGAATCGACTGCAAAAGAAGTCGCTTCTTTGGAGGGGATTAGTCAGCGGTTACGCCTGTTTTTTTTCACCATCAAGCCAGTAAGCACCAACAAATTCATATGCAAATCACATTCCCTTTGGCTTACCATTGCCAGTTGTGCCTAAGGGACAGGTATCTGAAAGTCTGATCTTGAGACACTGTCATCCCTGCATTCTAAACCATAAGCACATAACCAGTAATTAAGTTATCCCTGGTATCCTTGCGTTTGTGGTGCTTACGGCGATGTTGTGGCATGGAATATTTTGGGGCTCCCTGCCTGCACAAGGCTCCACCGATGTTGCCATTAGCTTGGAATAAGTTTGACAGTGGATAGAGGCGGTCGGCTAAACTGGGGAAGAAAAGAGAAGAGGGCATTTGCTAAAGTGGTTCTAATAGTGGGTTAATGGCTATAGAACAGCAGCGGGTAAATGGGCTTGCTCCGCACGACGCGAAGTTCCAGCACTTCAAGCGACAATATATCAAGGATTTTTGAATTAATCCTCACTTCGTTCGTTATTCCGTGGGAAAGGTTCATCTGCTGAACAGCCTGGACAGGAGGAGCCGTCCGATTCGTTTTTCGTGTTGACGTTCGAAGGCGATCAACTCGTCCGTTGATAGCCGGTGCTCGGCCTTTCCATGGATGGTCCTAAAGTCCTCCCATTAAGCTATCACTGTCAGAGATCAAACAATACTGCGAGTGATCTTTACTTTTTATCGACTTTTGAATACTCACGTGTAGTGTTGGCTAATCCCTTCCCAATGGTCACGTTCAGTACTTTGCCGGTCGGCTTCAGTTCGCATTGAGCGCTACTACCAGACAAATGGAACTGAACGGTCCTTGTACCGCCACCAAATCGGGTCTTCTTCAAAACGATTGTATGGCTGGTGGCGAATTCCAACTGGAGTATTCCACCACGAGTTCGCTCTTTGAAGTGTTTGCTACAAAAAAAAATCATTTGGGCCTTCCACACCACTCAAGGAGTACAGCTGAAAAAATCAAACTACGGTAGAATACAGTACCTCAACGAGGTGATAAACTCCGTCTTGAATGGCGTCTCTATCAACGAGGTATAGTTATCGCGCACATTAATGATGACAAAGTCGTCCTGGTAGGGTGAAAGACCTATCGAGAGTATGTGGCCGATATCGATCTGCCTTCAAATAGTCGATATTTCTACCGTATTTCGTGAACGTCATGCGAACTCACCTCTTTACAACCTCAATCAGCTGACCCTTATCAGCTTTGTTCTTCGACTTCTCGCGTCCAATTAACGTAAGATGTTTAGCGGTGAGAAGCATGTCAAGTTTTGAGGTCTAGAATAGGAATTTAAGACAGAACCGAAAACACAGCATCCTTAGTGTCCTTAGAGGTGTGGTCAGGAAATCCATGTTGCAATGGTGCCGCGTCATAAAGGATGTTGCGTATGCGGCATCCGCACCAAGACCAATTTAATGTTATGTGAATGTGCTACAGCATACTGAGTCAACCAGCTGCGTGAGTCGCATACGTCAAACTGCTCTTTGCGTCTTCTTGAGGCTCGGATCTCCTGGCCCGGTTTCTCCCACTAGTCTTGGAAATGGGTATCCGAAATCTGTTCTACACAAATGTCATACAAAAGTATTGAGTCTGTTCCAATCAAGAAACCCGAAGGTGGAAAATTGCAAATTCATTGGCAAGAGGTCACTTGGGCGAAGAAGTGCAAAACGAGCAGTGTTGCGTGTGTGTTTAATGGGTCCTGCTGAGAACACATTTAGGCCACCCCCACTGACCACAACGTCTCCGTTACTGCGGAGTTGAGAAATGCTTGCGGACTCAAAACTATGTAGTAGTAGGCTCACCTTGAATCTTCGGTCATACTTGATGACAGTATTGGCGAAATCCACTCGTTCTCGTTTCCCAACAAGGCTCTGAAACATACTAGTTGAAAATTTTTTCATGATTGTTTTATTTTCAGGTTGAAGATAAAGGCGCTTCCCGAGTATTTATTTCGTTGTAAAATCAGTGACTGTTACTGCTCAACCTTTCGTGCATTTACTTGCTGTAGCAAAAGCCGCAGCAATCACTATTGTGAATCGTAGTCAGGGCACGTACTGTCGCTAGGGAAAATTCTAGCGTAATACGGCTCGCCCCCAGAACTCTGCTCACTGCTCTGGTACGGCCGCCCCTCTCTCCCTATCCACTTTCCAGAATTATTTCAGCTTCCTTGAAAATTTTTCCGCGGGAACAGCGAGGAGGGTTGAGTTATTTTAGCATGTGAGTTGCGGGAAAAACCGCGAAAAACGCAAACGGAAAGTTGTCTCGCGCACGGAGAAAGGTTTCCCAAAGCCATATAAAAACCCCTCCGATCCACCAATGGGGAGTCTTTCAACGATGCGGATAGCGCGGAAAACCAAGAAAATCGACTATCAAAAAAAGAACTCCTGGTTATGTCTGCTGAGTAAAAAGCTCAAGAAGCTGAGTAAAAAGCTCAAAAAGTTCAACGCATCGGTTGAGAGAAAAATAATTAGATCTAAGAACAAAGCCGCGTTCTACAAACTTCTAAAATCGAGATTAGCTCAGAAGGCAAAAATTATGGCACTTCTTTCTTCTGACGGAACTCCAGTCTACAGTGATGCTGATAAAGCAGAGCTTTTGGCGACCACTTTTCAAAAAGCTTTCCACCATTTTGAACATGATGGGGACATGATTTCTACTGGAACCAGATTCCCTTCAATGCAGGATTCAGTGTGGTTTCATCGGGATGAAATTACGAAGCTACTTCTTGAATGGCCGCAGTCAAATTCGCTTACTCCAGACTTCATACCTCTCCATTTTATCAAGAAGGTTGTCCATCATATAAGTGGCCCACTAGAACACATTTTCAACCTAAGTTTTATGAATGCGGAAGTTCCGCGTCGGTGGAGGCAGTCCTTCATAACGGCTATTCCAAAGAAACCTCCATACAATTTACCAAATAATTTTAGGCCGGTCAGCATAACCTCTATTTTTGCGAGGCTATTTGAAAAGATCCTAAAGAAACGTATCGTGGAGCATCTTGGAAAACACAATATCATATCCCCCAAGCAACACGGTTTTCAGGAAGGGAAGTCTACGGTAACCGCTATGATTCAGGCTCTCAATCATTGGACAAGGTGTTTAGATGAGGGTAAACCTGTTGACGTTGTGTATCTTGATTTTTGCAAAGCGTTTGACAAAGTCTGTCACAAGAAGTTGCTGAATAAAATGAGCGACATAGGAATCCACCCACGCATTACGGCATGGGTGGCGGCATTCTTGTCAGGACGTCAGTTTTCTGTTCGTATCAATTCGTCATTCTCGTCACCCAGGCTTGTGCACAGTGGAGTTCCGCAGGGAGGGGTCCTTTCGCCTGTGCTGTTCAACATCTATACATATGACCTCATTTCTATCGCTGAGCAATCTAATGTCGAAATGTGTGCGTTTGCTGACGATCTCAAGGTTTATCGTTCGATCACTTAATGAGGACGATGCTAAAGACCTTCAAGATGCACTCAATAAAGTCCACCAGTGGTCAGAAGAATGGGGCCTGCCTCTATCTGAGGCCAAAACTAGGGTGCTGCACCTTGGCTCACGGAACAAACGGCATAGATACACTATCGGAAGCACGGTTCTGTCTGTAGTTGAACAAGTGAGGGACCTAGGTTTCTTGTAGACAGCGATCTTAGTTTTGATGCTCATTGTGAGGATATTGCCAGGAAGGGAACCATTGTCTTGCATAACATATTCAGAGCACTGTCGACAAGGTGTACGTCTGTTCTATTGCAGGCTTACAAGTCATATGTAAGACCTGTTCTAGAATATGGTACACCCGTGTTCAGTCCTTTCAAAGTCAAATCAATTAATAAACTAGAGGCAGTCCAAAATAGCTTCACAAGGAAATTAATGGTGAGAGTCCTTGGGTTCATGTATGACCAAATCCCTTCAAGTGAGATCAGGAATAAGAATTTTGGTTTACAAACTCTGCAGTTTAGGCGGAAGAAAAATGATCTATTACTGTATCATAAACTTATTCATGGGAAAGCTAAATTAGATCTTGAACAACTGTGGGTACAGAGGACCTCGATCACAAGAGGCGGTAGGATGAAATTTGATGTGGGTCGGGCCAAGTTGAGTTGCAGGCGGAACTTTTTCACTCACAGGGTAATCCCGTTATTCCAAAAGTTATGTAAAAAGTGTCCAATAGCGATATCTTACGGCGCACTTAAAAGATTTTTGAGTACGGCAAAGGGTTAGCGAAATCCCTTGGTCCTAAGCAGTTTTTTTTCTTTTTTTCCTCTGTCTTACGATACATTAGTGGCTGCTCCAAATTTATTAGCTATTATGTGATTCTTGTTGGTGAGTTACATTATTTTTATTTATTGAGTTAGCTTAAATGTCCTAGAGTGTCATTGATATTTGATTGCGTGACTCTTTTGTGGGATTGGTTCACACGAGGCTACTCGTGTAATAAATATATATATATTATATACACCCCCCTCGCTCCAACGACCGAAACGACTCTCCGGTGAAGAGTTCCAGCGTCCATACGACGTGCCCTAACTGTTGTCAGCTATGATGATCTCCAGTATTTGAAAATCACCAAACGGGAATACACCCACTTGCTATAAAAGGGGGCCGACCGTGCTAAGTGAGGTTCTTCCGTCATCTTTCACGATCCCGTCATCAGACCGGAGTTCATCGTCCAACACCTTCCGCTGGCTAACCATGGCTATCCATGTTGTCTGACGTTATTATCAAAGGCGAAACTCGCGATCATCGCAGATAGTGGATTAGGAACTAGCACATAGACGACAAAGTGCTGAGTAACTCGATAGTGAAGAAAAAAAAGCAGAAAAAAACATGCCAATAGCTCTAGATAGAATCTCATTTCAATCCTATTTTGAGCGTGCCACTGAACACCATCGCCTACGATACCCCCTCATCCGCACAACTGATCTCCCGATAAGATTCGCCGCGGACCACACTACCCTACCGACGCCATACTTTCAACTTCTATACCTGATCACCTTCAACCTTATTTAAAGACAGCCCCCGCGCTCGAGTAGTACATGGTCGTCCTTCCTTGTGCAAGTAGTACAGCCCCAAGCTAGAGACTGTCCCACTCTCGCGACTCCACAGCGAGCGAGGAGCGAGCTACAGCCGCTGAAAGTTCTAGTTCTAACGCCCGCCCAGTTGGACCGCCCACTTGCTAGATGCCCTCTGACGGAGAGCCGCTCAGTTGTTCTTTGTTGGGGCGGCGGGCATTAATCGGAATTGCATGCCCTTTTTGCTGACCGCGCTCGTGCCCATGAATGGTTCTGCTCTCCTTTATTACATTTTATTTATTAGGAGCACATACAGTCAACTCCAACCCATCTTGCAAGGTAAAACGCGTAAAAATCACGAGCGACCCAATTTTCGTGGTGCAAAAGCTCGACGCACCACACTACACTAAAAGATAACCGTAACCCTAAATTCAGACGCCTAGTTTTGAAAGTTTCTTTTCCTTTTCAAGAGTTTTTCTTCCGTGTTTTTGTTGTTTTTCGTATTCTTTTCATTGCATTGGATGATACCCACTACTGGGAGATGTGATAAAGGAATTTGTGAGCCAGGGGTTGCACAGAGACCGCAGGAAGGTGTGACTGCCAGGGAGCGATTTTGTTTATGGTGTTCTTGAGGGCTCTTCTTGCTTTTTTTTCTTCTTTGGGGAATTACTTATCAGCTACTGTTTCATAATTGAAAAGCAACTATCCATGACACTTTTATCGCGGGAGCTGTCTTTAACGGTAGAACATACCAAGAGAAATCCAGTCAAGTTCTATCTAACAATGTTTGTTTTTTTGTACTGTTAATTTCTGTTTCATTCTTACTTTAAATTTTCTTAACAATTTGGAGATCCAATAAGTGTGGTTTAGTGCATACAATTCCAAATGAGATGGAGTAATGCTCACCTGAAGAACGGGGTGGTGCTCCAAGCCAATGTAATCGCCGACAAAATTTCGGTTCAAAGAATACCGTCGTCTTTCCTTCTTGCCATACAAAAGATCGGATGCTTGCTCCTAAATGGTCAACTATTCAGTTATGAGATATCACATCGACTCTCGTTTTCTTCTCAAAGAGCCAATGAGGGAAATGGACAAATAGTCTTGAGCACCTTCTGTTTGGTATGGTGTTTTCTAGCGTTGAACTGCCGCCATGCCTTCTGAATCTTCCTGGCGAACCCGTCGTATTTCTTCTCACGAACTTCTTCCAGTAAAAACAGCTGAAGCGCTTTCGGTAAAGCGTCGAAACGGCTTGCAAAAGGTCTCGTTCATACTCGGAAGGAATAACTTACTGATTCGGGATTTTTGATGAATATCTTACTAGTGCCCATTTGATATTGATCTGGATCCATATTCACACTGCGACAGATAATCTGAAATAACACAAGTATGCTGAGTTATGGGCAAAAGTCGAACCCCAGGCGGGAGTCGAACCCGCACCTCACGCTTTCCGGGCGAGTGCGCTATCCGTTACGCCACCAGGACTTTCACCCTCTCAGCTTAAAGACACATGGACTACAGGACTTGGCAAAAAGCCAAGAGAGCCGCGCGCGACACGCGCCGCGCGGAACGGCTGTTAGCATAAACGGTAGGCGGAGCATGGACGAATTAGACTTTCCCACGGCCCTGTACTCTAACCCCGTGCAGTTTCGGGCGGGGAAACCACGACACATCGACAGCTGGGGGGCTGATAGTCACATACACCCTCAATGTGTGTGAGCGTACCATGTGTCTTTAACGGCCCGTGAAATAACGTCAGATTGGCAATAAAGTCTGAAGGTCTGGAGGAGAGTGAAGCTTTTCCTAAGTGATTGTGCTGCAACTTGATATTATTCGTTAAAGGCAAAGCCCGCGAACCACAGATTGTGGGTAACGGAACCCACATAGGAACGAAAAAGGGCTAGGTATCTGATTAGCGGAGAAAAGCAGCAGAAAAACAGCCGAAAATGCCCTAAATAGGATTCCATATCGACTCCCAACTTGTACATGCATGCAATGAAGAAAACGCATGTTTGTACGAATTTCCACTCGTCGTTATCATAAAGATATCAGCTCTTTTATCGTATCACCTCACTCTCACCATTCGGAATGGAGAGAGAGAGAGATAGCATAGTGGCTACTAGCTAGTAGCTAGCAGCCGGTGGGGGTCGGCATGGGCCTAAGGGGCGCCAATGGGCCTAATTGGTTAGCTTGAAGCGGAATTCTTGCCGATTTTCACTTTCTAAAGGTAGCGCAGCCTCCGCAATCTCCTTCCGGATCGTCTGACACATTTGAAAGGTCATAGCCTTATTTTATCGCGGAAAGTGCCTTTAAGTTAGGGGTTACCCATAACTTGGCTGGTACAGAGTGAAGGTGATGAGAAAGCGAATAAAAATTTACATTTTCCAAAAATCGTGGCCGCGTCCACAAGAGATGACGCTCGAGCACAGCACACTTTTTTGAGACACGAGAACTCTCGGGAAATACTCTGGGCATCGTATATGATCCCCACTTTTCCCTCTTTGGTCTGGGTTCATACGTTACGACCAATCACCGCGGGGTTCCGACGCTCTGGCAAGAAGTTGCGCGCTCAAGGAATAAGTGCCAATTTTTCCTGGAGGCCGCGGTCGCCAGCGTTTGGGGAAACGTGTACGTTGAAATCTTGAGAGCGCGGTGAACCCCTTTCTTTTCTATCTGATAGCCGTCTTTGTCCTACACGTCTAGCCAACTTATTGTATCCGCTACCTTAGAGCTTCATAAATTTGTTCGCTGACTTCTTTTGGTTCATGGATACAGCGCAATAATAACCCAATCGCTCTAGAACTTGACATACCTGACATCCTTGCTTTGGGTCACCACGATAAGTTGGCCACGTCTCGCTGGTCAGGATCGCATAACGCCACAAGAACTTCTCGAATGCCCTGCGATAAGCGAATCCAGCACGTCGCACACGAATATTCTCCCGAAGACCGAGGTATTCAACTTGATGACGAACTCTGAAATGGAAAGATTCCCTTGCATGAACTCAGAGGCAGTAGAGCAAGAAGCAGGAAGACAAAATGAAGTGACAACTACCTCGCTTGGTCATCCCCAGTCGCCATGTTTCTTCGTCTCGTTGGTTGATACAGCGCAAAAAAAAAACAAAATTAATGCGCGTGCATTTCATCAGAGATTCGACCAAAGCGTTCGCTTGATTCTGAAATGGCACATGGCATGCTGGAAAAACCCATCCGATCAACGAATCTGCTCGAGTGGCGTACATAAAGCTGCGGGTACAAAAACTTACCCTAATCTTTGTCGAAACGGTAGTTGGCCGTTTACCCGTGGTGGCGTTTACATTGTCAGGAAACAGAGAACGAAGGAATGAACTGAAAATTCAATCAGGTTAGCAGAATTATGGATGGTGGTGGGGGCTGGCGCAATGGCCAAAATTCGCAAGTGGAATATCGTCATCAAAACTATCATAATAACATCCATCCAATTTCATCCAAGGATTTTCCGTCGAGCGGAAGGGGGAGGGGGAGGCGG